CCAGAACAGAGTTTCCAAGAAGATCCACTTTACTGGCTTCCTCTATCTGGATTTACCTTGTATTTGAGTCATTTCCTTGTATATCAAGAGAGTTGCAGAACATTATAGTCCATTAGAAATATATTATAGCACTACTATGTCTTATTAAAAACTAAACAATAATACATTACTATTATTAATAGTAATTATTACTATTATTAATAGTAATAATAAATTAGTATTATTTCTCCCTTCCTAGACATTCCACAGCTATATAAATCTCACTTGCCTAATTCCCAACAGACCCTCAACCTCTGAAGATGCTTGCCATAGATGTGGACGAAACGTCAGGAGACAATGCTTCTGGAACATGGCCATACAGCCCGGAAAACTCACAGCAACCCAGCGTTTGCAGCCATGAAAGCCTTCAACAAGAAATTACTGGTATTATTTCTAACATATTCACTACAAGCTCTGCTTTTATAAATCAACATTTTATGATGAATGGGTCAAAGACCCCTTCTCTGTGTACCACAATCCACGCAAGTCTCCCACAAACGCTATTTTGAGAACGAAAACATTTTAAGAACAAAAACAAGCTACCTTTCTCACACATTAAAGCCAATTGCACGTTTAAGATTAATATGTAACTGGGCTCACTTGAAGAACCTTTGATAGGTTTCTAAGAGAGCTCAGGGGCAAGCTGAAATGTGTGTTAAAATGCACAGAGATGGCATGGGAAGCAAGCAGAATGGAAGATTTCATCATTCACTTTTCATCATTCATTGACTGTCTATGACATGGCTTGCATTCAAACACATGCCACTTAGAACGAAAGCAACAGCTAGAGTAATGGGAAAGAAATCTTTATTTTCTTGATGCCCCTTTGTGGAAAAAAAAAAAGAAATCTACACCAAGGTACATTTGTCAACATCCATTCACATCAGAACCCCTTTCCTGAGAAAACACACTTCATGTTTCTATACTGCCTGTATAACCAAAGATTGTTGAGACGATATGGTGTGATAAAAGTTTTGAGTCTTGGACTACAAACTTTGGAGACCTGGATTTGAATCCTCTCTTGGTCATGAAAACCTACTGAGTAACTTTGGGAAATCACACATCCTCAGCCTTAGAAAACTATAATAGGTTCGCCTTAGAATTGCCATAAATCAGAAAGGACTTGAAAACAAATAATGGCAAACTCCAGGCTGGGGAAAAAGTACAAATATGGCAAATAAGCCCGTCTTTCTACAGCTTCTAATCAACACTCTTTGTGTTAAAGCTCAAAATTCAGGAAAACTAAATTCCTGTACATTTTCCGCCCTGCCTTTCTTTACCCAACACTATACAACTGGAAGCAGTTGCCTGTTCCATTTACCGAGGCCTCATCCACAGCTGTGAGGTTAAAAAAAGATAGCTGTGCCTTAAAACAAATTACCCTTGCACTCATATGCCCCATTATTTATATAAAGATGTTAAATCTAAATCAGGATATTATTTTAAAAGTGAAATCTGAAAGCTTCCCCCATTGATTGCATGTTTCATGTCTTTCTCTCCCTGTCCCCGTCCCCTTTTGCCTGACGACAGCTAGGTGGGAAAAGCTGTGGACAGGTGTTGTCAACACTGCATTTCACTCGCTGGAGTAAAACAAACTTTATGCCATTTCTGCCTTGGTAACATTCCTTTCAGAAGGGAAATAGAGGAAGATGGGGTTATAAAAGGGAAAAGCTTTCGACATTCTATATCCACTCCCATTTGCAATTGCCAATTAGGAGGGCTGTTTTACAAATAGGTCACTCATTAAATGCTTATATAGCTGAATTCAGGAAGGCCACTTCTCCAAAGAACAACGGAAGAGAGGGAAGTGGTTTATTGAGCCTTCTGGGTGGGCAGAACGGTCAAGCAGAAAGCAAAGCTCAATAAACTCATTACCCATCAGTTCCTCATCTGGATACACAGTAAGGATCTGGCCATTATTTATCTTAAGTATCTATGGACGCTGGGTTTTGTTTTGTTTTTGTTTTTTTTGAAGTTCCTCTGTACTCAAACTAAAAAAGAATGTTTCTTGTTAGACATGAAAGTCATTTGGCCTTGTTTCCAATATATAAAAAGTAAAATAGAATAATAGATCAATCTTCGACAGAAAATAGAATGTCAAATACAAACTCCTCTCAATTCTGTGTGCATTGTTTTCAAGATTTAATAGTAAATTAATTTCTAGAGCAGCCTTTCATATCCCAGTACTCTAGAGATGTGGTAGACTAGTGTTCCCATCATCCCAAACCAGCATAGTCAATGACTTCTGGAAGGCTCCAGGTTAGGGGAAGCTATGGTAGATGCAGGGCAACAACAGTGTGTCTGGTTACAGGATCTCTGGAAAACAACATATAAGATAGGACTAGGGTTGCCCTTAAGAGGGTTCTTCAGTACAGGCAGTTCCTGAGTTACAAACATCCAACTTACAAACAACTCATAGTCAAGAACAGGGGTGAGACAACAGGAAGTGAGAGAAATCTACCCCTAGGAAGGGAAATTCACTCCTGAAAATGTTATCATGAGGAAAAGGGGTCTCCACTGAAGCTTTATTATCAATCCTTGTTTCCACAAGAAGCCAATTTTTTCAAAATCCAACTATCACAGGGACTGAAAATGAGTGAAATCTTCCAAACAGGGGCACAGACAGCAAAGCAAACACCTTAGGGGTGTTAACCCTTCCTATCTAATCTAAAGCTTGCATACACACTCTCTCTCACACACATATATTATATTATATTATATTATACATATTAGACTGGAGTTAAACTTTTAAAATGTAGCTATTCCAACTTACATACAAATTCAACTTACGAACAAAACTACAGAACCTATCTTGTTTGTAATTTGGAAACTGTCTGAACTACGAAAAGTATCTGCTACCCAATTCTTCCTTAGGCTATTGCTAAAAAGGCAGAGTAAAATATAACAATTCTGTTTCTCTGTTGATAAATACCTCAGTAGTCTGTTCCTCCACCCCATATAGCAGTACTGGCAATATTGTAGTTTCTCTAATCATGTTGAACTGCAAATGAAATTTTCCCCCTCCATCCCAATTGTCACTGCCCCAACCTTAAAGGGAGAGTAGAGGCAATATCTGGTAGACTTCATCCCCTCCATTTTTCTTGCTCTTTTACTTGCAAGGCACCATGTACAATGATGGGACCATATAAATAATTATGATGAAATGGCAGTAGCCCTATGCAGTCAAGCCAATGGGGAAGAGTACTGGCATTTGCAGCCCATTGTACTCTGGAGGATTTCATGTTTCTAGTCCTGCTGTACAGGATTAACACGCTTTAAATATGATTAATCCTTTGAAAACTTCATGATGTGCAGGTCTTTCTATGGTTAATCATATCTGTAAATTTGAATCCATCCTAAATGAAATAAATATCCTAGCATAGTAACTAAGCAAGGAGTTAAAACTTCATTGGTTATTTTGGCTTGTTGTATGTTCAAGTGAGCCAGCATGGTATAGTGACTTGAGCACTGGACTACAACACTTCAAACCAGGGGTTGGTTCCCTGCTTATTGAAAACTACCTGGTGGTCTTGGGAAAGCCACACACTCTCAGCATCAGAAATCCCCATTGTAGGTTTGCCTTAGGGACATCATAATTTGGAAATTACTTGAAGGCAGACGAGAGCAATGATGTTCAAAGCAAGAAGTCCTGCCATTGTGGAAGTAGCAGGAGTAGTAACCCTAACCTTGGATGAAGTATAGACCAAACTTCAACTTCCCTTTGCCCTTTCGCCAACTTCATGTTTCCAAGCCACCATTTCCTCAAGCCAATTTCCTCAACATCTCTGAAATTATTCCTAATTGGATTCCACTTCTTTCAGACAACCAGTAATCAGTGTTTGTTGCCAAGTACTTGCTGTACAGTACAATGTTACTTCCATCCCAGAATAATACAGGTTTTAAAGCCATTCTCATATTGATGGTATCATGCTCATCAGCATAAAAGGTACTGATCATTTCCACATCACATCCCACATGTCTACGAATGCTCATGTGTGTGTAACATGGTGAGGTGCTTAGAATTCACTTGTAATAATGGCCTCCAGTATACTACCCTGAATGCCTGTCTACACTATAGTTAAATTTATTTAAGTCTCAATCCATCTCTTCTCCAGTACCTTGGGAATTACCAAGCTAGCAGGGTAGGGAAAAAAAACACCCTCCTCTATTTATTTAACCAAACCACCAATCTCACGTGCCTTAGGATGAAACCATAGCTGATATAATTATGTAATGTGAACAGAGTTTAAAACTCATCTGCCCCAGCTCACTACAGTCAACATTCAGAAGTGGCTCAGCTTTTACTTCTACTACAAGGAGCTAGTTGGCAATCCGTGTTTAAGAACCCACAAAGTTTGGGGGGGGGGGGGGTTCAGCCACATGAATGAAACTGACTTTGTCTTGAAACTTTTCTTTGGGATAGTGGGCAAATCACCCTGGGATAAGGATTGAAAAGAAAACAGCAACAGGCAATATTTAAGTTGCCAATTCATTTTGAGATGCACCAGCGTATTACAGAAAAACTTACTTTACAGGAAAAAAAAATCTGTGCTCCAGTTTTTTGGAATGAAAAACTATACAAAAATAGATCTTGCCAATTCCACTTTCCAATGGAATGGTTATAAATGCAGTCAGCTCTAAAGTATAATTTTATACCAATGGTTGCTTTACTCCTACCTCACATATAACAACTTTTTCTTGTGGGGCCAATAGCAGCTTTAGAAATGTGTGATTTAAAATAAGGGAAACTGGCATGGAGGAAAAGGATTAGGAGAGTCTTCCAAATAGTACTTTAGCTTCAAAAGGTGCTTTGATCTAAAACACATGGAGTACACACATATCCATGTGTTTACAGTTCACCTGTATCATCACTAGTCTGACCATTTTAAAAACAAAATGGAGGGAAATGCATTCATGTTATGAAGCAGCATCCTAAATGTGAAATGTAGAAACTGGGAGCCTTTATTCCAAAACAAAACAATTTATTCACTTGTCTCTCGTGAGAACAAACAATGAAGAGGGAAGGAAAACAAAGGAAGAAAGGGAGGGAAGGAGGGAGGGAGGGAAAAGAATAGAAAAATACAAATTCAAAAAGAAACTTAAGAACTCATTAGTTTTCATGAAAAGCATGGATGGGCATTTGCACTTAAAATCTTGCATGTTTTTTTAAGTAATCCTGAAATATTAAAGAATATAAACTGTTATCCTTGTGCATACAATAGATACAAAATTGGATACAGCACTAAATAAGACAACACATAATTCCTCTACATGTTAGTATTAAAAACGCAAGAGATCAAATTAAGAAATAAAACAGAAGAATGCATATGCATTTCCCACTCCCAAGAGGCGAGGTGATAAGTGATTGGCAGCAAACTGAGATGAGAGTTGTTGCAGATATTTCAGAGATATCCTCTCCCTCCATCCCACAGTGCAAAGTCCCAGAGATGTTTGGAGGAAGCTACACGGGTGCTGATTCACACTGCCTCCCCAGAAAGCCCCAGATGTATTTCTCAGCTGAAAAGGAACATCAGTACTATTATGTGCATTGCTATCAGGGAGGAAAAAATGAAACTGTGCTTGTAGCAATTTACCTAAATTCTGCTTCATTCCCATTGGGAAAGCATAATGAATAACTTCTTAAAGCCATTTGAGCTACCCCTTAAATAATAAATGGATATATAAATATCTTCACATAATGTAATGACATAGAAAATTGATGCTCCAAGATGAAAATCCAGGTTGTTCATCCTTTCCTAACCCGCTGCGAATGCTGCCATGCCATTTCCATTCCTTTCAATTAGAACTGAGCAAGACTTCCTTAAAAACATCAAGCGGCAAGGTGGCTATGCAGCTGGAGTACTTGGAGAACACACACTTCTATCTCCAGTTACACCTGATGGCAGTAAGACTGGGTGGGAAAGGAGAAAGAGTCAAGCAGAGGTCCACCTAGCTAAGAAAAGTGCAGGATTGGGCTAGCAAGTGTGGATGCTAGGCCTTCTAATGAGATGATGAGCATGGAAATAAGGTTCTTCCACCAAACTAGGGCTTAAAATTAGACCAGGAAATCAGAAGACTTTTTTTTTTGTTCAGGTGCACAACTTAATCCTTTTGGCTCCTTACAGATTTGTGCCTAACACTTTCTTGCAAGACTCCTACTAAATCAAACTATCTAGCTGCAAAACAGGAAGCAGATCCGATCGGAAAAATGTATCAGAACAGCTGTGGCTGTGTACAACTGGGAAATAGTGGTAGTTTGCACACATCTTTTTGCAAATACAAAAGTGGATTTTATTGTTCTGGGTGTGGCATGGCTATCACGTCAGAGGGGCTCTTTTGTTTTCTGTCAAGACAGAAATGTGGGAGAGCCCCAATAATTCCACTGCAAACTCTGTGATCCCATGTCTCCAATTTATATCTTCTGGTTTGGTATACTACCAGAGCAGTGTTAAAAAGGAGCTGCAGGGGAGAAACTTCCTAGTACAGGCTTTAGAATGGCAGCAATTAAGGCTGATATTGCATATGTTTATATAGGGGAAAAAGCAAATTCACAGTGATGAGAACACTGCGAGAGGTATGCGTGGACAACCTTGATCAGCCTTTGATAAAATGCTTTTTTAAAAAAACATGCATTTCTAGAACTACAAACTAGGTGATAAAATATGTCCTATGTGCATAATTGGATGAGCGCAATTTACATACGAACAGAGTCCAAGTGGTTTACTATGAGTCATTTGGTACAAGCTGTTTGTACCCAACAAAAAGCATCAGCCCAGGAAGTGGATATCGTACATAACACTGTGAAAACAAGCTCCCACTTTAAAATCTCCCAGATTCAAACACAGATTAGATAGCCAAATCTGTCTGTATTCAACGGCTTAGCAGACTATATGCACAAACTTTATTCTTTTTCAAAGTTCTTGTTAATTGATTAGCACATAGGTATGTGCAAGACAAAAGGCATTGCTTAATATAAATATTTACTAGAATGAACAGAAATGGCACTTTAGCACACACCACCCTGTCATTCACACTAAGCGGCAAATAGATCCTGCTCTGAATTTGTCTTTTTATTCTTCTAGTAGTCATCTTCCCCTATGCACTTGGAAGGTTACAGATTGGCTGGAAGTTCACATTGGTACGAGAAAGGAATGTCTGGCGATGCAGTCTGGGGAGAAAGAAAGAGTAGAACTTTACTTAAATAAGTCTGCATTTAACAAGGTAATTTGATAATCAAGTTGCATTTTTAACCATAGAAACTGTAAAAATAAAAATAAACACACTCTCTTCAACTTAAATCTGGGAAAATTCAGGACAAGAAAAAATGTTCAAGAGCAGAAACAGTGTCAGACTGCCAAGGAACATCAGGTGCTACATTTTGAAGAGGGCACGGAATAAATCCTGCCAAGAAAACCTCATGATAGGAGCACCCAAAGTCAGAACAGAATTGAAGGCCCACAACAATGATAAAGACTCAGCTGGATAGCTGTACAGACTCAATGTAAGGTGTTTTAAAGTATTTTATGGTTTTTATTGAAAAATTTCAAGCAAGCAACTTCTCTCTTAAGTGTTAAAGAAAGTTAGGGGTCCTTACGGAAATGTTGCTTCACAAGTGTAACTAGTCCTTGCTGGAGATAAAGAGTTCTCTAGTGGTGGCCCCATGGTTATGGAACTCTTTTTCCTCTTACATGATCTACTTGGAAGATCATTCATATCAATTCCAATCGTGTTTCTATTAAAATGTTGTCATCGGTCAGTCTCTCTCTGTATGTATGTGTGTGTGTGTGCGCGCGCGCGTGTGTGTGTATATATATATATATAYACACACACATAGTCAAACTATGTCTATTTGTGTGTGTGTGTRTGTATGTATGTATGTATRTATRTATRYAYRYAYAYACG